AAATAGGCGAAGAATATTGAATATTGTTCTCATGCTTCCTTTTTTACTTCTTACATGTAAGGTTTGTATTTTTAATCTTATCAAGGAAATTTAACGTCTTGATTAAGGGTCTACACTTTATCAGACTGGCAGGTAAACCATTGAAAACCTTTAACTGCGTTTTGAGAAATGTTTGAATTAGGTACTTTTTTTTATAGACTTATAGCATCAAATATGCGATTTTTGTAACAATATATGTTAATGCAACATAATAATAAAGTGCGCGCGAAAAAAGGTAAAGTTAAGCAGTCTTTTATAAAAAAAATTAACTCTTGCTACAAAATAATGGTAAAACAAATCTTTTATTCAACACATTACCCGTTACTAGCATGCCGTCTATATGACGCAAACAAACAACAAAAGTTTTTATCTAAGGGGTGCCAGGCCTTTTGGAACTAACTTCGTAACCGTTTATGTCTTCGCTATCGTCGTAACAATCGAAGAAGGCTTAGGTGGGCAATAAGAGATTTAGTTGAGAAAAGGCTGGATGGGATGAATTATTGTCCGCTAAGCCTAGCAGGGTTAATAGTACACTTTAATTCAGCGATAATTGTAAAAATGCCCATAAATAAAATAGCGCTGCCTTTCATGAAAGCCAATAACGACTTCTGTATATGGTACAACTTGCGTTTTTGCATCAAAAGTCAAACATATTTTTACAGCCATGACCGAAGGATGAGGGATATACTCGGAAAGAAGCTTCAGAGATCCCACAAGGTATATATATCCGTCGTTGTAAGACTTCTCCTGACCGCAGAAATAAAGTTATCAATTTCCAGTTTGGCAGAAACATTGGAAGCTCTTGCGCGCAGTTTGGTATTCAAAAGATGCCAAATCGTTTGAAGAACACGTCTACACTACGTAAAGTGAGGATGCCCGTGTTTTACAAAAGAAATAAAAAATTATTCTATGGGCGACCTGTACAGAAATGAAAGAAAACTGCCCACGCCTACTCAACTTTACAGTATATCAAAACATACTTTTTTTTTGATACTTTTATAACGGGCAGAGGAAAGCTTCAAAAGTACGGAAATTCTTAAACAGTTGCGGCTCCGGAATGCGCCTAACTATGTCCGTCTGAGCAACTGTTCAGTGTCTGTGGTAAATATTCTCCCGTTTGCCAAAATAGAGATATCGCTTACAAACTTGCAAAAAAAAATTTGAAAATGACCAAAACTTTTCAAAGGTCACGTCCACAACGCCTACAGGCGCGTGGAACAAAAACAGTGAACACTTTTGCATTCTATGTTTTTTGCTTGTTACTCATACACTCCGTATATTTCCACTTTTATTCTGAAAATAGAACCCACGCGCCCACCCCATTGAGAAAATTTAATTCTTTTTATTCTTTTAATGTCTCGGTGATGGGTATAAAAGACTTAGCCACAACCAAATAGATTTTCTTACTTCTTATTTTTCAAATAAACTCTACCAAATCAGATATGTGTCAGTTTGATAGAAAATCTTATTCACGAAGATTTCTGATCGAAAAATTGAATCAAGTGACCATCGCTGTCCATTTTCGGATTGAGTTTTATAACTATTCTTCTGATTAATTCTGAACGTTTTGTGCTGATTGCTCGCTTAAATCGCATTAGTTGCTGGCAGCAGAAGTGGTTTGGCCATGCCGGAGCAGCTTATGATGAACGATTGTCTTCCACTCCCGTCAAACACAGAGCAGCAAGTGATGTGGTATTAATTCGGGTTTTGTAAACATTCTGGCATTTCCATCCCATTTGTTCCACGAATTTTTCGCGGGTTCACGCCGTACGTAAAGCGCTTTTTATCGGCTCTTGACAATCCCCTCAAATGTAGCCTGATTTGATTTGGTGTAATAAAATTCTTTAGGGTTAATTCCTGTGATGCCAAATATTGCTCTTCTGTTTGTATACCGATTCACGCAAATGCTTTAAAATTGTATACGTTATCGCTCATCTCGAAATGCTGTTTCATCGACTTTATGAACGGTTGAGCAGCCAAGGTACGACTTTCAAGCCATTTAGATGCTGCTGCTGCATTTGGTGAACTATATTCACTCAGTGCATTGCAAATGTCTGCGCAAGCTTATTAGGCTTTTTTCGAATATGACAAATGCGGATTTTTAAATTATATTTCTGCGTTGACTTGATTTCAACGTCCTCACTTAATTTGCGCTGCTTTGAAGATGCGAATAGCCAGCAAAGAGAAGGGTGCAACAATACGCAGATTTAGAAAAAGAGTAAAGTTGAAAGAGAACTAACCTGATGGAAATTGCAAAACTTTCAATAATTCAGAGTCTTTCAATTCATAGTTAAATAGTATCCTAATATAAGGAGCAGGACGTAAGAATATCAGACCGATGGCAATTAGGCGACCAACATTAGAGCAGATAACAGCCCTTGGTTAAAGATCACCATTCCACACTTGTTAGGTCATATAGCGACTTTTCAAATTAAGGCGTTATATAGTGTGGGGTGGAAAAAGTAGTTCGATTCGAATCACTTTCAACAGCGTTCACCCTTGAGTTGAAATAAATCAGTGCAACAAATTTCATCAAAATATCTGACAAATTGAGGTCTGCAGATTCAGCACAAAAACAAGGCGGATATACGGACATGCAAATTTAAAACGACTCAGAGGGCGATTCTGAATCGAACACACACAAACTTAATATAGCCCTGTATCATAAGTGGTGAGGGATATAAAAATAGTTAAAAAATTTGAGTGAATGTTCGCATCTCATATAAAAAACTTAGTAAAGAAAATTGATGAAAGTTTTTATGAAATATGGTAATTAAACGTATTTTGTTTCGACCGGCGGACGTAAAATTGTTTGTAAAAATAAATATCTACTACAAATATTTTATGCAGATGAATGTGTGCAATTTAATATTGCTTTAAGTGTTTCATATGAATTCTGACAACTATTTTCGCATTCGAATGCCTGTCTACTGCATATGGAAAAGTAAACAATGAGAAGAGACTTGTAATCATGAAAATTTTGCACTCTCGCATGCCAAGCTACCTACACATAGCCATACGTAAATAATATTCAGGCGTAGTATATGTGAACAGCAATTTTGTATGAAATCAACAACTGAAATTAGATCGTATGGTCTACAAAACCAACGCGAACGCATAATTACTGAATTGCGGCAGGCACTTAAATAATGTTGATATTTTGGCATTCTGTCTGTTCGACAAGCAATTCGTCAATTTAAGAGTATCTAGCTTAAGATAGTCAAGCCCGCGGTTACGAAATTTTATGTTGATTTAAGGCTCTGACATATAAGAAAAACATTCCAAGTGCATACATCGTCAATGTAAAATCTTATGGATAAGTCAGAGCAGCAGCCCACACAGTAAGTTTGTCAGTCAGGTGCTTAAATTAAAGTCATGCATAATTATTTGACGTTGAATGCAGTAATGAAAAGTTTTTTTTTCCTCGGTTAGGCGCCACTCAAAGCTTTGTTTTTTAATATTTTAAATATCAGTTTCATGCAATATGTAAAGGAAAAAATGAAACAATCAACCAAGATAATTGATGAGAAAAAAAACGAAAAGACCAAGAGAGAAGTGTTTGTACACATCGAGTTTGAATCGAATCTTGGGTGCCAACGGAAGGTTTTTTAATCTGTCTTAAGGCTATTACTTGTCAAGTAAGACAAGCTAGATGCCGATCGGTAAGCAGCAAGCCTAAATTTTTAAGAAGCAAGCAAAATAGAACGACCTGTGAAGAAATTTTTCAATAGCTTTAATTTTCTTCATCACCATAATGAATTAAACACGCGATCCACGTCTTCCTGGCCTTCAAAGTCATAAATTTGTCCATTTTCTACGGATTGATTTCAATATATATATATATATATATTACGATCTGATCTCTTATAACCTTTACAAAAGAGTAATGTATCTTTAACGGAAATCTTCAACCTGGAGAAAAAGTATAGAAAAATTGTTGTCACACTTTTCTATTACATTTTCCTGTTAATCGAATTGAATCTTATTCAAGCACATAACAGAGAGAAGACCTGACGCCATTTAGGAACAAGAAGAACTTATCATTTGCCCTTACATCAATATCTATAAAAAAGGCAGCCAGTCTGAAATATTGGAACAGGTCACTAAAGCCGAATAGAATTTTTTTTTTAGATTGTACGCGCACCCGTGCTCGCAAGTCCGGATTACACAGGATCATGTTGCTGCCATTCTAAACATAACATCTAAACAAATTTTTGAATCTTTGGTGAAATTTAGTCCGAAGGATGAAGATCACCGGCCTTTTTTTGTGCAACTACCTTCATTTTTTATCTGATTGATCCTAAGAGCTGACAATGCACGTTCCAAATTTCAATTGTTCAGAATAACTTTCCATCCCCGAAGGATGAAGGATATATTCATTTTGTCGAAGCGTCTGCAACACCTAGAAGAATGCTTCAGAGACCGCACAAAGTATATATATTCTTGATCAGCTTCAAACGCTGAATCGATTTAATCATTTCCGATTGTATAACAAAAACTGGAAATCCGTTTTTCGTGTTGTTTAGTGGCTACTCATAAAGTACAACGCATATAAATACATATAAATTTCCACTTTCATTCTAAAATTAGAAGAAATCAGTTACGCCTACCTAATATTATGCAGTATGAAAATTTAGTTATTTCTTTTTTCTATTTTTTTGTAGGGTGAAGGCGATGGGACGATGGGAGATTCGGTCACGACCGAACACAATTTTCTCACCTTTTTTATTTAGTTTAGTTTAGTGAGTTTTGAGCGCACATAAGTTCCTTTATTAATCAAGAACAGTCGTGCTCTAAGCTCTTAGCTCTAATAAATGCTCGAATGATATTTCGGATTGGTTGAAAGTGAATACGAATATTGATATTAATATGGACGTAAATATGGGCATTAAATAAATTGTGAATACAAATATGAGTAAGAATGTGAATGTAAATATACTCAATATTATGAATATGAATAGGCATATGGCTATGAACATGATTATTAATAAGATTATGGCTATGGATACAAATACGGCTTTATATATGGCGTTGGCTATGATCATGAATATGAATATGAAAGTCGATATGAAGATGGTTGTGGATATAAACATGAAAGGCAATACGAAAAACTTGAATGAAAATATGACTACGAACATAGATAGTTATGAATATAAATATACTTTGAATATGAATATGAAATTGAATATGACTACAAGGGTAAGAATGCGCAATTTGGCTTCCGCGGTTTTATTTTCGAAATACGAAGGCTTACTGTAACAAACCGATTGCAAATTTTTTCCTTCAAAACTTTGTCAAGTAGAAATAACATGAGCTCCGTGCGGTAGAACCACCTGATCTTTTAAGACGGTCCGCAAAGTGAACCATATTTGGGCATCTTCGAATGAACTGCCGTTCGAACAAATAATAAGTCATCTACTGAGACCCGTATTATTCGGCAGGAATAATGTGCGCTGAAAGCAGTGGGCAGGATTGGACATTCTGCAAATATTTCCTGAGTCGATTTTGCTCAGTATGAATGAATATACTTGTACTGAAAAACCACAATACATTGACTTTCGGCGTCTCACGTGCGGTTTTCGTCGCAATTACATGAATGGACTTTGTTGGCGGTTCTTGGTGATGATTTCATTAGATGAGACAAGGCACAATATCCTACAGCCGACTGATGCTATTAACTGAAAGTGCCATGGATATTTAGCTTTATCGCTTCGCTTACTCTGCATCGTGAATTTTGGGTTTTCACTATTCATCGCTCGTAAGAATTTCGAAACATTGCGCCTCAAATTAACCAGGGGAAGTAAAGTTTCTCGCAAATGGCTTATTTCTTAGCTTCTGGCTTAGTGCGATGATTTGTATACTGGCGTATAACTTAAAGATAGCGGTTTCAAATGAAGAAACCATGGCTTTATTGGACAACCTACAGTAGGTACTAGTTGCACTCTCTCTCAGAAAAGGACGGAGCATCCAATATGAATATGACTACAAATATAAATGTGAAGCCAATATTATTGTAGACGAATGTAAATTTTACACATTATCAATTAATGCTTGATGTCCCTCTTTTTCTCCACACTAAATGAGTGCAGAAATTTATCGGGTTTCGTTGTCCTTTCTGCCTTTAAAGTTAATATTTGTTAATATTAGCTCTAACTCAATCTATCTTGCTCAAGTAAGCGCAATTATTTACTACTACTACTGCTATTTTTTCCATCATAACCCATACTGTAGTATTTGCTTACTGGTTGTCTAAGTTGTCTAAGAATTGCTTATTTTTCTTTTTTTATGCTTTTTTTTCAAGATGTCTTGATGTGTTAGGTATAGTTCTTTTTATGAATTTAAACTTAATTACAGGGAAAGATCCGAGTTTGTTCAGCGTATACTTTGAAATAATTTTGAATGATATCTCAAATTAGCCCTTGCTTTATTCCCAGTTGCGCTTTTTATGTACATGAAAAATATATATCATTAAATTAACCATTAATGCGAAATAGCGGTGCGTTGAAAGAGTATGAAAAAGCCGATTTGGGCCATTACCATTCTGTTAATATGACTATTTCTTATTCCAAGCAACCAACCAGATGTATGTTGAGCATTGGCTTTTTCGACATGTGACTATAAATTATTATTTTACCTTACTGTGCGGAAAATAACGCCCACTTAAATCATTTTCCAAACATATATACAATACATCGTATGCCTGCATGCCAATATGTTTATGTGCCCTACTATACGATTTAACATGCATACAAATCTTCATATTCCTATGTAATGAACGTAAATTGTGTTATTGCACGAAACTTGTATTCATCTTGATTTAAGTGTTGTCGATCGCATAAAACAATAGAGTATATATGTATTGGTATTGTGCAGATTTTGTTTTTTTTTTAGTTCAAGTATGAAATTATCGTCTGAATCAACTTTATTTTGAAGCTCTCCTTACTTTCATTTTGTTACGATTGATTTTCGTCTACATTGATCGGAGGAAATTTAGCTGACTTTCAAGCTTGAAGTGTAATATTGTATTAAATGTAAGTATTGTGTCTTTTATGTGTCTCTTAATGACGAATTGTACAATAACTAATAATCGTAGGTTACAAAATGAATAAGTTGAGTAGTATACCTGCAACTGTATAAACTATAGCAGCCAAGGCGTTGAACTAAAACATGCAAATCTCTTAGCAAAAAAGAGAAAAAAGACTGTGTTTGTGCGTACGCTAAGTGCGTTTGTGTTTAAGCGGATACTAGTGTACTAGTGAGTACCAAGAACCCACGCAGGAGCTTTAGTAATCGTTTTCATTTTTCTTTTTTCCTCACTTTTTTCCGAGTAGGTTTGTTAAAGTATCAATGTTAGCAGAAGCTAATGTTATATTGCAGCAACACCTTTTGGAAATAGATGAAAAAGTAATGTTACCTTAATTGGGGAAATAACCTTTAATATAAAAACTCAATTATGTAAAACGTATCAGTCTTAAAGGGGATTTATAACGACAACTATGTCAATTTTATTTTTTCTGTTAACGTCGGAGACGTCAATTAATACATCTAAATTATTTTGGAATCAAGCTTGCATTAAACTTTATCGTAAAGTGGTGCAATAAGTTAGAAACAAAAGTAAATGCAAATTTCCGCCTTTTCTTATCCCACATCACTTGTAGTAAAATACAAGCAGAACATACTGGAAATTTCAGAAAGATCTATATATTTTATTACACTAAGCGATTCAAACTCAATGTCTGAATCAGTTTAAGCATTTCTGTCCATCTGTCCCATTAGAGCCTACCACCCATATAATCTTATGCTCAACCTTAAGATCGCATTTTCGATTTATTCGGAAGATATGTGATATATCGGCTTGTTTTGACAGAAGGACGAGTTGTTGTGTATTGAAAATAACTGAAACTATTCCCTACAATCTTTTCCGCCTTTCTACACGACGAAGTATAAGAAGAAGGAGGAGGGGTGCACAAAGTAAAATTTGCTTTATTTATATTTTTTGACAAAAACCGGGGAATGTAGTATCTTTTTATGGCGATTACCTAAGATTCTTAACATCTTATGACCAAAATAGTTAAACAATTGTGGTAAGTAAGGCTGTGTAGGGCATTTGGTAGTCGACTTTGCCATACTCCATTAATTTGACTTGTTTTCGATTTTATTCTAGTTTAGTGACTATAGACGGATTTCACTTTTTTTAAATTCCGTCTACTTTTCAAGGTTGCGAAAGAGTCTGACTGACAATAATTGAAAATCGATTACTTCACTCCTCCGTTTACTTTAGATGAGTTAGAGTCAGCGATCAGTTTTTTTCGGTACTGTCAACAAGCTGTGAGAATAAAAATAGAAGAAAAGTGTACGCTTTCATGGAATGCCTCGGAACTCTTCACTTCGTTTGTCCTTGTCCACATTAATATTGGGTATAATTTCCTTGTAACCACAGCAGCTATCTCTACGAAGCAATGTATGTTTACCAACGAGTATCATATGATAATTTCTATTTATATTGACTTGCTACAGTCACAAAAATTGAGATAGGAATCTAAAATAGACTCTCATTAATGGATTGAGAAAATGAGCGTGATTAGTTTATTAAAAGACCGATAGGAACTATTTTTGGACTGAATCTCAAAGTGATCTTGACGAACATTTTGAGTTATAAGTTTTCGGAAATATCTTCACGGGATTATTAGTTATAGACGGAAATATAAAGAATATTTTGGCGTTTTTCAATATTGTTTTAGTTTCTACGCTCACATAGATGAGTATGTGGGCAAATCACAACCAATATTTGCCTTGAATTGTTAAAAGATGGAAAAATGTTTGTGTCAAATTTCGGCTTCCTATTTTTATATTTGCGACTTTAGCAATGCCACAAAATGATGGGTTAACCTGATCGATAACGGCGGAAATAGATATAAGCAAAACGTCCAAAAGTTCCATTATTAGGAGGGAGGCAAGAGCTTTATAAGCTGATGAAATAGATATTCTTTTCTAAAAGGAAAATCCACCTGAGTGGCCGAGTAACCAAAGGGCCATGATTAACAACTCGATGGTCATGAGGTTCAAATCTCAAGTGCGACAGTGTTTTTAATAAAGCCGATAACCTTAGATGCTACTGTTTTAAGACTCTTAGTATTTAAAGTTGTGGCTTAATTGATAATAATAACAGTAATAATGAATTTTTGAAAAATGAAAAAATTAGTAAATTTTCATGCATCTGTTAATAAAAGATGAACTTCGTTTGATGGGGTAACTTCTTCGTAATCATTTTTTTGTATTCTTTTTTTTGCATACGTTCGGAGGAAAAAGAGGAAACAAATCGCTTGTAACAAGTTGTGCTTGTACAGCATGCATGTCAAGCTCAAAATATGGCAACATTTGCAAATTTGTCGTGTTTTCTCCACATATTTTTTTCTTCTTTTTTTTTTTAGTCAGTGGTTCGTAAAGTAAGCGACAAGTAGAAAATGTTACAAGACGTGCGAATAAATGTTCGGGGAAGTGCACAATTTTATATAAGTGACTTTGCGTATGTGCATACAAATGTCCGGCGACACTTGTTGGGAAACGTTAAATTTTCTTTTACACAGACTGGAAGATTAATGTTTCAAATGAATGAAAGAACAGCATTTTCTGAAGAAACATTTAAAAATCAAGTGCTTACGAAAATCGTTCTTGATGGTTGTACTCTGATGTTTTCATTATATCGTTTGGGATGCCTAAATAATAAAACACAAATAAAAGGTAACGTTTTGCACTCTTGGAAAAGTTCCTTGTTTATTAATTCTTCTTTTTTCGGTTTTTGTTTATTTTGCTTTAGTTTTTTTAAACGGCTTGTTCGTATTCTGGCAACATATTTATCATATTGTAATATAATTATATCGATTAGGGCCAAAGTAACAGAAAACGTGAAACAATGTATTGAAGACTAATTTCTTTCTTAATTAGTTTTACCTTAACAGCTTTCCTCCTGCCTACTCTCAGCTACCTGATTTCAATGCAAACTTTAAGGGCTAATATATATCTTGTCAATATGCGAATTCAATTAGTAGTTAGCTTAGTTTTCAGAATAAAAAAATCTTGATTAGGTGGCTGAAAGAGGAGCAATGTTTCAACGAATCAGTTTCATAGATCAACGTATGTGTAAGGGGTTATACGCCTACAGACACAATTAGAGGCATCAACGTGAATAGCAGCTAATT